GGGCTGGGGCTTGCCAGGGTAGGCGGGCCTGGTCGGTTGCTGACCAGAATGCATCTCAATTCCATTGCTTGAAACAATACCCGACTCAAATCCATTCCTATTTTGTGGTAAAGCCAAGTCCCACCTGCCGGCTTTGGTCTGGGGGACACCATTTATATCCGAATTAGGTTGATAATGTGGCTGCTCTGAGTTTTGTCTGGGTTTTTGAAGCATTAGCAAGTCAGGCATGGAACTAGAAACACTTCCTTCAGGACTGTAGCCATTTCCTCGCCCCTCATAGGAACCACTGAACCTTCCTCCACTAGGTGCAGCAGCAGGCTTCAGAGTGTAACTGGGTCCATAACTACCCAGAGGCTGTGCAGAGCTCTCATAACTGGAAGGAGCTAGAGCAGGTTTGTAGCTCCTTGGGAAGTTTTCAGCTAGCTCAAAGTGAGGTTCAATGCTGCTGGAGCCTCCACTTCTGTAGGTGAGTGCTAGGAAGACAACTTATGAATTTAGTTTAAGAAGTTACCAAATGAGACTGTAGTTTTTCTATTATGAATCCTTACCTTTTGCATGCCACCCAAATGCCAATAGTGAGAGCAAGAGCACCCTGAAAAAGAGGAAAGTATGAATGAAAAAATAAATAAATAAATACAAATAAAACAGATCTGCCAGAACAGACAAACATAATCCTACCTCACACAAAATCCAAAAGCCATTGTTCAAAACTGAAGACAAACAATCTGCTCAACATGTGCTGAGCCTGAACAGACAACAAAATCAGTAACTACTGCTTCAACTGCCTGACTGCTGCTAACACAGTGGCCCTTTTCAAGCGTTGGTGCTCAATCAAGTCTCTTGCTGATGAACTAACTGAAGTCAGGTTTGAGATAATCAGCTCCAGTCCTGTCTGGAGACCTGGGCAGGTGTTTGCACTTTAGCTAACAGGCTACAACTTGCCTAACTCTTGTGGGATGTATTTGAAGGGTTTATGTATGTTGTCACTGATGCACATTTTTTTATGTTAGTTTGCATGGTTTTAGAGTTTGCTTTTACATATTTGTATTATATTTATATATATTTTAAGATTTCCACCTCTGACATTTGTGCACAACCCAAGAGCAACAGGATTTTAGATACGTTCTGTGGTGCGCAATGAATTGAACTCTTTCCATATACAGTACGATGATTTCTTAAATAAGACTCTTGGAATTAGAAAATCGTTGCATCACCAAAAGACTTTGTGGCTCTCTCATTTTACATAAAAGATTTACACTATGAAATTATGAGCTGCTGTAGGTGGTCTGTAGGTACTATTGGCAGAGTTTGGCTCCTGTCATGTTGTTTGCAATCAAACTACCCCTTCTATTGTGTCAGAGAAGAAACACACAGCTGACAAAGATTAAATACATTTTATTAACCATCATTTGTGTTACTGGTTACAATATTGTCATGCAAACACATATATCACCACGTTACAAAAAAGCAGCTCACCGTGCAGTCATGAAAAGAACAAACTGATTTCTTTAATCTTATAACTCAAAACTATATTTGAATCATACATCCACATTTAATAAGCATTAATTCAACCTCTGCATGGAATTTTAATACAGAAAAATATATAAAATTATGGAGAGAGCACTGTATTTATTTTAACAAACATAAAATATGTAGATACATGGGTATTTTAACATCAAACTGAGAGCCAGTAAGAGGGGAGATTTACTTCCAGAAAGTAGGATGGGAGAGGGAATGAGTCAAGTGGCAGAAAAGAGTGAAAGATGCACATTCAAATTTAGAAAATAGAAAGAAAATTGAGGTTTACATAAGGAGTAAGAAGAAAGGAGGAATGAAAGAAAAAAGGTCAGTCGTTGCGAGGGTCCGTTAGCTGAGTTTGAGGCCGAGACAGAGAGCCAGCTCGTTCTTCTGGATCTTCCCATCTCCGTTGATGTCACAGTGACCCATCAGGGCTTTCCTGAACTTGTCTAGGTCTGTGCCACTGATGCTGGGCTGGAGGAGAGGGTGGGGATTTGGAAGAGTTAACAGAGAGGTCAGAGGTCAATCACTCCTGATGGGTAAAAATGTCTCACAGAGAGGGGACAGGGACAGACATACAGACATAAGAGCAGCATGTTCTCATCTAACTCTTGGCATGAAAAAGCACCTTTATATTCATCATCAGAGCTCAGTGTGTTAGAAAAAAGTATGTAACAGCAGCATATTCATGATAGATAAACCTTACCTTTACCAGCTCCATCATGTCCTTGACGAAGCCATCCACTTCCGGACCCTCCAATGCACCTGTCTTACTCTACACACACACACGCACACACAC